GGGGCTGCGTTTCTCTGGAGTAGGCACAGTGAGCTGGCACCTAAGCCAAGCCAGTGAGAGCTCTGCTGCAGGCTGGAGCATTAAGACCACACAACTGTGCCTTCAGTGACCTCTCAGTGCCACAAAGAGACAGGAGGCTGGGCCCCTAAGGTTTTGCACGTATGCTGGCTGGCAGGGGTTGGGCTGTCCATCCACAGAGGCCCTGAGCTGCTGATGGGCACTGTGTTCCACCAGGCTCTCCAGGGTGTGAATGCCGCTTCTGGTGTTCCGCAAACACAGCCTCCCATGGAGCTAGCAAAGCAAGAGGCAGCCAGTGCTCAGCAAGAGGGAAAGGAGCAGGAGGCAGACTGAAACACAGGTTCTGCCGGGAATTTGCCATGTACCCTTGGGCCACCCTCCTAACCCATCTGGTCTTGTTCCTTCCAACTGGTAAATCTGAAAGGGAGACCTGTGGCCTAGACAATCTCCCAAGTGCATTCTGAATGAATGCAAGAATTCAGCATCCTAAGAGGAACCCCGTGGGGTAGAGAAGATTCGGAGCTAGGCACCTCTCCCTAAAGGCCCCCAAAGGGCTGCTGGGTTCTTACTGCCTCTGGGCCTGCAATGCTTTGCTGTCCCTTAAGCTCTAGTTGCTGATTGGTTCACATGATGAACACAAGCTGCCCAAATCACTCATAGGATGGCTTGAGAAAAAGCAATTAAATGCTTTCTTAATTGTGGGGTGGCAAGAGGTTAATGAGTTACTATAAAAACCAGTCCCTGCCATCTGTTGGCTGTCACCAAAGCCTGCATGGAGGGAGCGATCCCAATTTGTAAGACCAGTTGACGGGATCACTCCAAGTCAGGAGAAGGCAGGCAGCTCGAAGTGCTGAGGCTGGGGCCCAGAGCATGTCCCCGCCAGCTCCCAAATGTCCCCTAGCTGCAACAAAAGTTCAAAGCTGCGCTGGATGAAAAAGGAAGCCAGATCATTTGGAGTTCAAACACTTTTTCTCTGGAGAGATGGCCCTGACAGCTACTCTGTTCAGCCTGAGCCAGGACAGAGAAAAGTGACAGACTGATGGAGAACTGGGCCAAGGCAGCGGGAGAGACAGATGAGGTAGGGCTGCCAGACCCTGCAAAGACAAAAAATAAACCAGCTGGACAGACAGACAAAAGAGAACGAACGAGAACTGAAATGCCAAGAGATGAAAAAAGACCGTGACACAGACAAGTCATGAATGTAAGAAGCAGATGAAAGGGAGGGTAATTTTCTAGAATCACAGACAGAAAAGAACTTTAGAGGCTTTGGCTTTGTTCTGTGCAAACGTGTTTTCTGCAGTTCCATGGAGTCATTGAGAGAAATAGCCTTTCTCCCCCAGAGGGTACGAACAGGAAACACACAGCAGGAGGGCTGGCCTCGGCTCTGCCCTGACCACCACACACGTAGGCATCGCACACGTGCACACACAGATGTGTTCACAAGTGCACACACACAATGCACAAATACATACACAATTGCATATATAGACGTGCACACATGTACAGATATGCACACATGTAGGCACAAACAATACACATGTGCAGACGCATGCATGCATATAAATGAATGCACAACACATGCTCATGTACACATGCATGTGTGTATGTGTACAAGCATGTTTTCACACACAGTATACACACACACATGCACGCACAGAAATTCTTGTACATATGCATATACAAACACAATACACAAACATACTCCTAAGCACACACAAACACACATACACACTCTCTGAGGTGATCCCACCCTGCTGAGCCCCAAGAAATCCTCTTCCTTGCTCTATCTCACAACAGCCAGTTCTCCTCAGCCAGGCAGGGCTCTGTGTCCCATGCCCCACACCCAGTCCCTGAAGTCACATTTGCAATTTCAGGCTGGCAGTCTAAGGTCAGGCCCAAAAATGAAGGACCAGAAAGTCCACCCTTCCCAAGGCTGCATAGGCTGTGGTTTCTGTGAGCTTTTATGTGTTGCTTGCACTCTGGCATCTTCTAGGAACTGACTGAGGCCACCCCCAAATGCTCTTCCAGGTGGGCTCTTGCTATGCCTTGAATCCATAGCCCAGAGCAAATACATCCATGCCCAGAGTGAACAAACTAAGTCCAGGGATCTGCAGCTGGAAGGTTCCCACCTTAGCCCTTGGGTTTCCTTCTCCTCCCTCCTACCAGTGTGCATTTGGTCAACCTGCTTCTTGGACCTGGTCTCTGTAGAATTAAAGAGAACTGGATCTGACCCACCATGCTCGCTGGAGCATTGTGATTCCCCTAAGTCTGTAAGGGAATCTGGAGAAAGGAGTGCCCTGTTCCAGGGTAAAATGAGAGCTTGAAATTCCTGGTCTGCACCCAACTAGCACAAGAGTTGGCCACAACTGTGCCTCTTGTTTCCAATAATAAGCCCAAATCCAAGGCTGTATCTAGCTGGTCCCACCTATCCAGCTGGACACTTTGGGACCATGTCACCTGGGAGACTCCCTGAGGAGGAGTGCCAGGTCTTTGAAAAGCTTCTTGATTCTCATGTCAGCAGCAGCCAGGGCTCAGCAGCTGCACAGTGACAGAGCCAGCGAGCAGCATCCAGGATGCAGCCAGATGCCAGCAGTGGCGTCCTCACTGCGTGGCTCTAGGATGTGAGTTTGTCTATGGTCCTGGGATTTGTTCCTGTCCCTCTAAAGGACTGAGCGCTCTTCTTCCTGGTGATTCTACCCAGTATCTTTCCTGTTTCAAAAGAAAAAGAGGATGCATGCACAAGTGTGCTCATGTGACTACGAGAGAGGCAGAGACGGGGAGAGAGGACTCTCACTGCTAGAACACAGTCCCCACGTCATGGGCACTGGTCTCTCCCCCCTCATCTGCTTCCCCTGGACAGGCTCCTGTCTCTGGCCACTTTCCCATGGCCCCATGAGCCCACACCTGCAGTTTTGTCCCTTGGCTGTAATGTATACTCTTCAGCCTGGACCTACTGCTGCCCACTGCCCCGTGATTAGACACCCTCCGTCTGCCTGCTGCCCTAGGCCTCTCCCCACCTATTGTGTGCTGTAATTCACACCACACACACACACACACACACACACATACACACGCCTATTTCTGCTCGTGTTCTCTCCTGCACTTTCTGCTGGTGGCTGCTAGAAACTGAATTGCACCCTCCTGTTCCTGGATGGCTTGTGTTTCATTTCCCCTGCTCCATCTCCCTCCAGCCAAACCTGCGGGACTGGAAAGGGAGGAGCTACATACTAGAACCAACTGCTGTCTTCAGGCTTCAAACCCAGTTTTCTCTCTTTCCCTCTGCCCTTCAGGCCTCCTCCTTCCGAGGAGGAATCTCTTTCCTCTGCCACAGCCTCAGTACTCTGGAATACATCCAGCCAGAGACTACCGTGATGTGGACAGGACGATGCCCCCGGGGTCACACGCTGACACTTCCTGACCCAGAGCACATGTGCTTGGTGCGGCCTCCCTCCTGCGTGGTCCACAGCCTTCTCAGCCACTGCCCATGCTTGCGCATCCCCGCCCTCTCCTGCCCCCACTCATGCTCTCAGTGTTCAAAGATCTCCCAGCCCCCCTCACCTGAATCTGTCTTCTCTTAGGCATGAGGACAGTGTCAGTAACCCAGGACTTACCCCCAAACCCCCAGTCCTCCTACCCTCGTTTAGCTCACATTTCCCCTTGAATTCACATGCCTCCAAAAACTCCCCATACCCTTCCCAGAAGCCCAGCAAACACCAAAGTGCCTGCCCAGGACTGTGGCAAACCCAGGGTTGAGTCCCAGTTCTCTTGATTTCCTGGTCCCATGAGCTTGGCCAGGTTACATGGTCCCACCTGCATGCAACACCAGTGGTACATGCACGCCTGGATGTCTGGCCCCACCCAAAGAGACTGTCCCTCGCCACCCAATGGGACAGTCAGTCATATACCACCAGTGGTTCAGAGCCACCTGCCAAGGAGACGTGTGAATTATGGCTCCATTGTGAAGTATTAACATTTCTCCTCTGAAAAGTAAAGATGATCACAAAATCTGCTGCAAGGAGCTGCCGTGAGAAATGAGAGAAACCCCGTGTGCAAAGTGCCGAACACACGGTTTCCATTCATCTCCCTGGGCGACTCTGGCAGCCTACCCTCCTCCCTCCGCCCTCGTATTTTTCAGGTACCTGAAGCCCACATGTAACCCCTCTGGACTCCTGGTAGCCTAGCCGGGGCCAAGTCCACCAACATCAGTTCTCTGTCGTTGGGAGAAAGAGCTCGTTTGCCTTGACAGCTGGTGGAGGAGGATTTGATCAGTGCAGCTTGGAACAGCATGAAGAGTTTGAATCTTCAGTGCTGATCAAAGGGGAGCCCATGGAGAGTTTTATGACAAGTAACTCATTTCGAGAAAGAATGAGAAGCAGGTGTGGGCCTCCTCCCACTCCCCTACCTCCTCACCCTGTCCCTGCCCCAAAACTGAGGAGTGGGGGTGCAAAACCTCCAACCTGTATTGAAGTCAAGCGTCATAGGAAGCACTTTTTCCGTATCAAGCATCGCCTCAGCATTAATGGGTATTGCACTTCATTCCAGCCCCTGAGAAGCACAGGCCAGCAGGCTCCCCCACGCTGACTTGGGGGAAAGTATGGCGTAGGAGGAGCACACCAGCTGGGGGACTTTCAGTGCGGGACCCCGGGGACACTGCCCTCTGCTGCAAGGCCAATCAGAGGGATTTAGTCTAGGAAGGTTTTGAGATTTCAATACGAGTGAGAGTTGAACCCAGATAGCTCTTTATGATGGGCTTGGCACTGTAGGATGTTTAGCATCTCTGCATCGGTGCCCGCATACCAGCAGCACCCCTACTCAGCTGTAGCAACTCAAAACATTTCCAGGCACTGCCAAATGGTGAGTAAAATCAGCCCTGGCTGGAACTCACTCAGCTAGACCTGGGCAAGCTACCTGATGCAGCTCACATGGCCCACTGTGGCCCCCGGAGGCCTGGTCACTTGCTGCCTGCTCACCTGGGCGCTCACCTGGGCACTCATCTCTGCAGCTGGATGTACGGAAGGCTCTGCAATTCCACCAGCTGGCACTGGGTGGTCCACGAGCCCCAGGTGTCTGCTGAGCCCAGTGGCTGTCGCTCTGTGACTCTGTGACTCCAGCCACCTGCACACGGATGAGGCTCCTTCTGGAATCAGCACTGCGTGGTCACCTGGTGAAGTTGGGGATTTTATCTATATGTGTCTCCACCTCTGACCAGGCTTGCTCTCCAGATTTTGGGAAGTAGAGGAGGATGCCATGAAGGAAAGAGAGAGACAAGCAAATGTTACATGAGCAAGACGGCCTATCTCCCTCTGTGGTCACATCACCGTGTTTTCTATAATGACAGTGTACGACTTTGCCAGCATTTTTAAAGCCTTTCCTCGAACTAATTTATCTACTGCTAAAGAGTAGCTGAGCAGTGTTCCCAAATGGGGATTTTTGTTTCTGGCATGAAGCAGTGTTATTTGCAGGGATATATATTTGTTAGCAGATGAGGTCATTCTTATTCCATGCAAATCAAGTGGGCTTGGTAATTAAAAAAATAAATAAAAACAAAAACAGCAGGGAACTGAGCAGCTACTTTTATTTTTTTGTAACCTCACCATGTTTTTGCAAGTAAATAAATAAATGTACTCCCACAGCCGCTCACTCACCACCATCAAATTAACCCATATGTAATTATGAGAATGCAAACATATATAGAGAGACAATATATTGCACACAGTCATATATATTTAATCAAAGCACAGTTGTGCCACATCTTTCTGCAACTTGCTTTTTTGCTGCTTAACATTTCAGCTTCGTTGGTGGATCCCTTCCAAGCCCATGCCTTGGGAACCTCACTATGTAGTGGAACTCCCCACCTCCCTTCTCACCACCTGCGTGACCGTGTACAAGCGAGTGACTTCCTCGTGCCTCTTCTGTGCCATGCGGATAATGACAATGCTGCCTGCTTTATATAGTTGTTGAGAGGACTAAATAAGGTCACATATAAAAAGCATTCAGAACAATGCCTAGCACATAACAAATGCTCAAAAACATGTTAGCTGGGCTTACCCAGATTTACCTTGGTTTTTCTTCTTTGAGCCCTCCAGCAATTCTGCTATATGAATGCACCTTAAATTTATTAAACCTATGTTCTTATAGAAGTGTAAATGTTTACAAAGATGGGTCTCATTAGAGTGACACAATGAAAGCCCTCGTCTGTACATCTTTACACATTCATGCACTCTATAGGCTCCTAAAGGAGAGATCTCCATGTTATTGGATAAGCACATTAAGTGCACATATCTATTGCCAATTTACTTTCCATAAGGTGCCGGTGGTTTACCTTCCTACCAGCCATAAATGCAGGTCTGTTCGTTCATTCCCCGGTTCTAAAGGTTGTCATTCATTTTCACTGGGCAGGCAAAAATAAAAATAATGCCATATTGGTACTGTCACTTAAATGCCGTATATTACTAATGAAGCTGATTATCTTGATATTTTTCCACTGTAATGAGCCATTCATCTGTAGAGTGCAAGGGTGGATGGACTCACACGTGTGTGTGGCCCATCTGCCTATTTTTGCTGTTTCTGATGGATTTAGAGGCCCACGTCCTATGGTGGAGATACTCATTGTTTTCCTGCTAGAATATGCAGTTAGTACTTCCTCCTAGGCCGTCATTTTTGTTCTGGTTTATTTATAGTGTCTTTGACAATAGACTTTTATTCTGTTGTGTTTTTAATTTTTAAGAGGTCCAATCTGCCAATGTTTTCCTGGGCCTTCTGGGTTGGTTGCCAGACTTAGAAAGGCCTCTACCCCAAGACCAACAAACAGACAGATAGATATATAGAGAAACATAATTTTGCATTACTTTTAATTCATTATTTTGGTATTTAGTGCACAAATCTTGAAATCCATCTGAATTTTTATTGTGTGTGGCGTGTCATGTGTATCTAAATCGGTCTCTGCACACATGGATAGATATTTGTTCCAGGTTGCAGTGTCTTTGGCCTGCAGGTGGCTCACCGCAAGACCTAAGAATCTCTTAAGTCAGCCTTGCCCTGGGGAAGCCACTGGGGAGGAAAAAGGGGTGGGGGGCACATATTTGCTGCTCTGCCTTCCCTTCCCGATTATTGCCCCTCGTGGCATGGGTGCGGGTGCAGCTCCTAACCACAGTGCAGAGCAGGGCAGGCAGCTGCGAGGGAGCCCAGAACATACATCACTCGTACACAGCATTACAGGAATGGCCAGGGTCTGAGCTATGGTTGCCCTGGGATTGTGGTAACTTATGTGCCCAGAGAAATCATTTTCCTGGAAGATGCATTTTAGGCAGCATGGGGGCTCAAGTGACCCTTATATCATCTGCTCCCAGGTTCCTGAGGATTTACACCTGCTGGCTTTCCACAATAGAAAGAAATCTAATTACCAGTGGAATAACTTACAGGTAAGGAGACCTCCCACACATGCCCAGCCTGGCTGTAAATCACTCACAGCCTGACATGGAGAAGGAAGCAGGTGCTCTGACCTGGCGTGAGCACAAGCAGGCTTCCAGAGACCCCTGGGCGTTCAGGGCCTAGAAAACAGGAAGAGCATAAGCAGGCTTCACATGCCGAGTTCTACATGCTCCTACTGACCACTAGGATGAGTCTATAGTCCCCAATTTCCCTGTCCACACACATCGGGGTACCCCATGAACCCCACACCTTCGGTTTTCACAGCAACCCTGAAAGCAAGAATCAGTATTCCCATTTTACACGAGTAGAGAAAATAATATCAAAGAATCCAAGTGAAGCCAGTGCTGGGGCACATACTTGCAACCCTGGCATTCTGAGAGGCTGAGGCAGGAGGAACGGAAGTTTGAAACCAGCCTGGGTAACTAATGAGACCTGGTCTCTCAAAACCGACTGGAGACATAGCTCTGTCTGAAAGGTCTGGATCTAATTCCCAGTATCACACACACACACACACACACACACACACACACACACACACAGAGGGAGAGAGAGAGAGAGAGAGAGAGAGAGAGAGAGAGAAGCAGAGGCTTAAGAGAAATCTTTGTTTACAGTGAAATTGGTAGAAAGCTTCAGAACTCAAATTCTACCCTCCTCTTCCAAGCACCAGCCTGTTCCTGAACAACTGTGTCTGCCAGCCTGGACCTCATGGTGGGGACGGGAAGCCGTCTCCAGCCTCACACCAAAGGTCCTTGGGAGGCTCCTGGATTTTTCTGTCCTCTGGCTGTGGTGTGGCCTTCCCTAAGGTCCACACATCCCCAGGATCATCTATGCCAATGCTCCCCATAGCATGAACCATGTCGTGTCATGGCATAGCGTTATTAGGAAGGAAGCAGGCTTGTCTGATGTTGGCAGAGGCCACCAGGGCTGCACCTGGCAGTGGGAAGCACAGCTGTCAGGGCACAGAGGCCAGGTGGTCACCTCCTAACACACAGTGCTCTCTGCCTCTGCGTGTACCCAAGTATTATCCATGCAGCTTTAAAGCATGAATTAAACTGTGGTTTTTATATGACTGGAAGTCTTAATATCAGAGATGAATTCACTTGTCACTGTGGATGTGTGGGTGGTCCATGGTTGGGCTGTTGATGTTTGGATAGATAATAGAATAGAGTGATATTCTATGTACTATTTTATATTGATTTCCTGAGTTCATAATTTTTTTGCCTTCAGTTTAGCAAAATCTTCAACTGTGTTCATCTTCACAAAGTTTTCTTCTATCACCAGTAACTGTCTAAGGATTTAAAAGTAAAATATAATTGCATCCATAGGGAATAAATCAATGTTTTCATTTTTTAAATTCCTTAAACTACAAGTAAAAATTGAAAAAATTAAAAATATTTTAAAATGTGATCTCAGTAAGTTATTTTTCTTCTAAAATATTCCAAATGGACAAAAAATTAAAAAGCAAAACACAAATTATGATTAATAAATGTCAAAATTTTTAATCAAAGCCACTTCACTGAAACTTTTTAACTGAAATTCTTAAAAATTTAATGAAATATGTTATATTTTTGGACAAAACAACCTACAGTTTTAGCATTCAATGCTGATTTGTTGCAAATGTGAAGGATCAGAAAAGTACACTTCACTGTCTTGAGCTGTATATCTAGAAAGTTAAGAGTAATATGAATCTTTCACTGTTGGAAAACATGCTCCCGCATCTCTGGGCAGGCGTTGTGAATGCTGTGTTAATCTTAGCTCCAGAAACAGGAATTGGAACATGAAGAGAAGCAAGAAGATGAACGTTTGGCACAACTGGGAAACAATAATTCGTTACATAAGACTGTTTCAGTCAAGCTTGGAGGAAAGATTTGACAAGTTAATTAATTTGCTTTTTCTCTGGCCCCAGCACCTCTGCTCAAACCCTCCCTGCTTCTGGAAGCAGGGTTTATCTCTGATGCTGCCGGAAATAGGTGTCACAAAGGTCTTCCTTGACCCACGGCCAGGCGTGTGCAGAGGGTTTCCCGGGGCGGAGCCGTCTTTAGGGTTACAGATCATCCCAGTCCTCCAAGAGCCTTATGTCTCAAGTGGCAGAGGGGTCTACATGGCATGTGTGAGTGAGTGTGTGTGTGTGTGTGTGTGTGTGTGTGTAATATATGCAGGGTCCCCTAAAGTATAAAAGCACAAAGTCAAGGTTCGGGGTCCCATAGTGATGCAGGAACACAGGATTTGCAGGGCTCGGGAAGTCCTTGGCCCTCTCAAATTTGATATTTTGCTAAAGGCCTCCAGGGACTCGTCATGTGTGCTACTGGTGCGTATGACTTACACCAGCAGAAGGATACAAAGGGGATCAGCAAGAGAAGAGCACTTGGGGCCAAGTTCAGAGAAATCGGGAACAAGCACCCAAAATTCTTTCTCTTTCATCCCTCACACTGCACAAATAAAAATCAAGACCCAAACAGTCCTCTCCCAGGGACTCAAACAGGACGTCCTTACTTCCCCTGGCAGTGGGGTGTGAGAACACAGATACAGTGTTTATACATGGCAGCCCCTTAGACCTGGCGCCCTGGGTTTTATCAGGAGCATGGAAAGCTGTCACATAGGCACTGTTGGGATAGGTTAGGTACAGTGAGCCACTCTTTAGGGAACAGAGGGGATGTCAAATTCTCAAACACCAGCCAAGGGCTAACCTTGCAAGGAAGGGGCCTAGCTCTCTTCTGCACAGGATACAGAATAAGCCTCTGATTTTACCTCCCCTTTAACTCCCATCCCTGGGCTGGAGGTACAAACCAATTGACCTGAGCAGAACAGAGGTGGGGGGCACCTTCCTACCTCACAGAGATTCCCCCAGATGGTCATGTGCAGTTGGAACCTGCCCCACCGCAAGTACAAACCCCACACCCACTTACCTGCTCTCTCCAGAAGACACCAAAGAACAAGAGTATCATCATGAAACTCTGAGTCAAGCATATCTAAACGATAACTTGCATAAGAACATCATGAGTAGTTGGGCTGTCTTTAAGATAGAAGTGAATTCAGAATGCTTTTTAGCTACAGAGGAAATGAAGGGCTAGGCGGAGATCAGTTATTATTATTGTTCCTCAGATGGTTTAGAAATCTCATGATGCATTTATAAATACATATACATTCTCACATGGACCCAAAATACATAATAAATATTTTAATTTCTAAAACGTTACCATCTGGGGAGTGGTAAGGTGTTCTTTCCAACTATGAGCACATGGGAGATGGGACTCTGAGTTATCATCAAAACTAAAAACTGTTATTAAGTCACAAAGAAATGTGTGATCATCTCTACTGGAGTGACATCATGTTAATATTAGTTTATGGAGACAATTCAAAGACCATTCAGAGACCATTCTGTTTTTCTCATAAAAGTTCTTGTTTTTGTGAATCAATTTGACTTCGTGAAGCCACTCAATTTTTACCAGTCTACACGTCATTCTTTAAATTTTAGGTGAATAACATTGTTTTATTTATAGTATCTTTATTTTGGCAGTCATGTGCTATTTATAACTAATACGAGCTTTCTATTCATAATACAGATGCAAATGGTATTAATCCTCAAAGCTAGGATTTGAGACAAGTTAAATAGGGTTATTAATCAATGATAGTGTGAGTGTGTGTTACAAAAGTGAGACAAAAGTCATCAAAGAGGTAAATGAAAGCTCTGGCTGGCAATAAACGTAGTCTAAATACCTACCAGACCCCAAGTTCCATTTGCCCCAGCCACAGGAGACCAGGTGTGACCAGAGTGACAGGTGTGAGGGGAGATCTTTATCCTCAGGGAATGTCCACCTGGAAAACAACACACAAATACCCAGTTACTGGTAAAGTTTTGAGAGTGGTGCCTGCAGGGGGCATACGGTCAGCCGAACTAGGGAAGGGCCCAAGTTTAAGGCAGCAGATGTAAAGCTATGAGTTACACCTTGGAAATGCTTCCTAGACTTCAGGCTACAATCAAGACTCCAAATGTAGCCACTGAGTGTCTCTATAGACAGACACAGGGGAGTCTGGATTTTACAGAAAAGAGAAGGTGGTGTGACACTGGAGGCCAAGAGCAGAGTAATGTGACCACCAGCCAAGGAATGTCAGCAATCACCAGAAGCAGGAAGAAGCTGGCGATAGTGCTCTCCAGGAGCCCCCAGAATGCACAACTCTGCTGACACCTTACACGAGGCCCCTAAGAGTTAGCTCAGATTCCTGACACCCAGAACTGGAACAGAATCAACTGCTGCTATTTTGAGCAGAATGTGTGGCAGTAGCCACAGAAAACGAACACAGCCCCCAGTGCTGGAAGAAGTTACAGGTATAGGGAGCCACAGTCACTGGGGAACAATGCCAGCGCCCCTAGAAGGCCTGCGGGCTTCGAGCTGAGGCCTCCTAAATGCAGAGCTTGAGAAAGCCCAATGCGGCTTGGCTGAGCACAACGCAAGGAAGGTGCAGAGGCCAAGCCAGGGAACTCTGCCAAGAGGTTCCCGGGGCTGCTCAGGTGTGCAGGGGTGAGTGCCAGGCCCCAGGGATTAGCAGTGGGAAGGAGAGAGGACCGGCACAAAAGAAATTTCAAAGGCAAAATTGATCGGGCTTAGTGAAAGCCTGGACAGAGCAGATGAAGGAGAAATGTCTTCCAGCTGTTAGAGCAGGCCCTGGCAGCAACAGGGTGGGCCGGGGGAGTTGGGGTAAAGGGGAAACATTTCTAAGTGTTTCTAACAATAGCAGGGGTGTGTGGATTGTCCCTGAGCTCCAAATCGGAATCGAGCTGCTCTGAGTCAAGCAAACAGCTTGTGGATCACACTGCAGGCTGGAAGAAAATGCGATTATCAGGGTTCCCAGCATAGGACACAAGAATCCTTCCAGCCAGCTTCAGATCCCCGCTTCTTAGCCTGAGGCCTCCAGAGGCCTTGATTTCTCCATGTGGAGCTGGGCAGGAGAATAGAGTGGAAGAGGAAGAAAGAAGTAGGGGGTGAAGGGAAAAGAAGGGGAGACAATGGCACAGCTCAAACACACAGAAATATGTGCCAGCTGCCACCTGGTGGGGGCACTGACCGGGATCGCAGGGAGCCCATGGAAGGAGCCTGGTTTCTTTTACAGCCTGATTTCCACTTGGTACTGCTTCCATCCCAAAGGATCTGAGAATAAACGACCTTCTGGCCAGAAAAGCAAGTGGATTCCAGAGGGCTGGGAGAATGCAAAGCAAGGAGTGAGCAGGAACTGGATTTTAGAGCAATGTCTGAGGCACCCAGGGCAGGGAACGGGGATCAGAGTCCTAGAAAGAGCAACAGTCAAGCCTAGAGACAGATCTACAGGCGTTTCAGATGCGAGAGGGAGCATGTGTACAGTAACCAAGCTCTGCCCCACACTCTGTGTTCTGAGTCCCTTTCAGGGGTGACTGAGCACCCTGAGGAAGCCTGCAGGAGGCCACCACCTGCTGTGCCCAGTTGTTCTCTGCCCACAGCTCTGCAGCCTCTTCTGTACAGAGTCTGTCGGTGCTCATTTTGGCTTGGTAAAGCAAGGGGGTGGGGAGAGCAGGGGAGGCCTGAGTTTATCTTTAATTACTTCTTGTGCAACTCCTGTAGGCAGGCACCTATTAGCTGCTTCAAAGAATCAGTGAATAAGACAGACCCTGCTCCAACCCCAGGGTGCTTATAAACATTCTCCAAAAAGCCTTGAAAATAGCCCCAGTAGAAGCTTGAATCAGAACCAAATCTCCGCGTTTCAAAATGATTGAATTGGCAAACAAGCAAATGTTCTCTGGACCCAACTAGGATTGTGTTCTGTTTGATTCCCTCTCCCCTCCAGGCTTCCAGCAACCTGCAGACACACTCATGTGGCCTGTCTTTCAAGCGATTCCCTGAGGAATTTGCTGAGCTGAAAACCCAACATTATCACCCCTTTTCCCTTGTCTGGCCCCTTTGTGTGTCCACTGGCTCATTCCACAACCCTTTATTGGTGCCTGGTGTGGACAAAGAGTGTGACATTGCCTGAAATGGGGACAGCCAGTCCATAGGGGACACCACATAGGTTGGCTCTTCCTCATAGGTTGGTGGATAGGACAGACACAGCAGCACAGATGGGACTGGAAAACAGCAGAGCCCCAAAATAAAAAGTCTAAGACCCCCTAAAGCCTTGCCCCACACTCTGACCAATTCAATCATAGAGAACCTGCCACACCAAGAGTCACAGCTGGGCAGCTCCATGTGACCAAGTGCATCACCCAGCACCTCCATAATCTCACTTGTGTTCCATAGTGACCGCACAAAGTACACGATTCACCCCCACTTTGCAGACAAACAAATAGAGGCAAAGAAATGACGGGATTTGTCCCAAGTTCCCTAACTGGTGGGTTGCCAAGCAGAGGCCTGAGCCCAGGTCTTGGGGTTATAGCTTTAGAACCCCACACTACATGACTTCTTTGTTCCTTGTATCTTGTCCTCCCCATCCCTCAAAATCACACACACACACACACACACCAGCTCAAAAAATAATAATAATAATTAAGCTAAATGAAAACCAGAAATGTCTCTGCTCCACGCCAGGACCTGGCAGCGGGCAGCAGGCAATTCTCCGGAGGACACTTAGTGATTTCCAGGGGAAACCTGACCACTGCCAGCGTCCAGACAGCACCGTGGTTTCAATTAGGAATCTGAAGGCTCTGGTTTCTGAGGTGAGGACACAAAAGAGGGGGGCCCAGAGGGGAGGCTGACCTCTCTCAGAACCCCCTCTGTTCCCGGCTAATATGTCAATAGCCTCTTAAATGGAACGTTATGTGTCTGGGGGTTTATTGTCAGGCCCGTCCCTTCTGGGTAGGGTTTAGTTCTTCTTCTTCTTTTTTTTTAATCTAAAGTTGATTGCCTCTCTCATTATCAAAGCCAATACCCATCTGTTTCCACTTTCTGAAGGGCTGCAGCGCGGAATGGAGTGGAAATATGTTTTTACTTGAGGTTTTAGGATTCCCCCTCCTCCTCCCTTGTTGAGGGTTGTTCAAATTCTAATGTTGTCACTGCAATATGATCTACTCGTGGTGGGTGGCCCGGCTGCGCCATTTGAAACTAATTGACGGCTTCATCTGAGACTATCGTCACTTTAAATTAATTAACCAGAGCTTACCAAAGATTATAGGATGGGGCAGGAGGAGGCATAGGAGCTGGGGTGGGGGACCCCAAGCTTCGCTGGATTCTGTCTTTGGGCACACGGGGCTGTTTTACTTTCTTTCCATCACCTTTTGAAAGTAAAATAACAACCAATTCAGAACCTCATTTTTTTTTTTTATTTAAGGAGAAGAAGGAAAAAAACAGAAAAAGGGTACAAGTAATACAAAATTTAAAAAATAAACAGTAAGAAATCACTAGTTAATAGATTACATATTCTCATCTTAGAAATAGTTGTTCAAGTTACATTACTGAAGCATATAAAGTGGACTTTCAAACAGTGAGAGTGCAAAGGTTTCTTCTTAGGGAAGATAAGAATTCTGTGTTAGTTTTCACAAAGCCAAGCCAAGCCGAGCCAAGGTTGCTACCGGGAAGACAGGTGAGGAGACCTGCTGCTGACAGGTGGGGACATGTGGGTCCTGAAATGGGTGCTAAGGACACGGTGGAGCAGGCAGGCATCAAGTGGCTTGCCCCTGACCACATGGCTACGAAAGGATGGAGCAAAAGCCAGGCGTGTGCAACCTGCCTATCATCCAGCACTCTGGCAGGCTGAGACAGGAAGATCTCAAGTTTGAGTCCAGGCTGGGCAATTTAGGGATCTAATGATGCAGAAGCTAGTGGCGGCCCACCCTCTCAGGAGTTCTGGGCCCTTGATGCAGCCTAAATGTGAGTGTCAAAATTATCAGGCTGACTTGGGAAGCCTGAGACATGCAGTGTTCAGGCAGCAGCAGATTATAATCTCTGCTCTCTGTGCTAACAAAGGCCTAAAAGTAATTCGAAAGTCCTTAACTGCTGTGTGCCCAGGCCCAAACACACAAGATTTACGTGTTGCTCCCCAAATCTTCTCCTCAAATCTCAGGGTTAGGAGGAAGAGACCTCAGGCACAAAGGTGGGTTGCTGAGCCAAATTAGAACGTGGACATCTATTCTAGAATTTTATAGCACACCCTAACAGCGGACAGGAACACTCACTGGGTGGTAGGTGCCCTTCCAAGACTTTCAGTGAATTCATTCTAGGGCCAACACTAAGAGGTCTGTGATTACCCTGTTTGACAGCTGAGGAATCTGCAGTTAGCTCAAGGAAGCAGACCAGGCATGAAGGCACACTCCTGTAATCCCAGCACTCAGATGGCTGAGGCAGGAGGATGGCTGTGAGTTTGAGGCCCGCCTGAACTACAGACATTCCTCACTTAACAACCAAGTTCCATGCATGCAATTAGGTCATTAAATGAGTTGGTCCCTCAACAAGGAATTGTTTATAGAGGAAGTCCTGGACCTATGAACATTCCAGTTACGAACTTTCACAGGTATAATATATAAGACACTTTTTTGGCTTACAAACAAATTCGATTTACAAATAATTCTCTCTTACTGTAGTAGTCACATTATGAGAACAAAGAAACCATGAGAGGAAACTCCAACTTGATGACTTCGCTTTTATTTGCATAATTCTTACATGCAGCACTGTAATATATAACAGAACATAAAACTACAGCCTTGTACAGTTTGGTACAATCAGCAAAAATTACACTGTTGTGTAAACAAGGCCTACTGTACAAAAGACAGTGAGGCTCTATTGATAAGATGTACAAAAAAAAAAAATGAATCATAAGTCCAAGGGGCAGGTCACAGTTCTGAACAGACATTAAAAGGTAGGTTGTTAAAGGAGGAATATCTGTCCATAGCAAAACTGTCTCGAAAAACAAATTTTAAAAGATCAGGGGTTCATCATCTTGTTCAACCAGGATTCAAACCCAGACAGGGCACAAAATCAGATGCTCTCTATCCTGCCCCAGCCTCCTGAGCAAGGGGTTTCAGCCTGGGCTCGAACCTCTTGGTGATGGGGCGCTCACAACCTCTGAAGGAGATGCTTCCTTGTTACACTGAGATGGTATCTTCCTGCATGCTGTTTCCCCATCCTTCTGGGCCCGACTATAGCTTCCCAGAACAAAGTTTGACTTGTTTTCTCAAACTGACAGCAGGGCCTGAGGTGCCATGTTCCCCGTGAGCACCCCCGACCCCCCGCCCGAGCAAGCAAGGACCCGGCTTGGGAGCGGCCTGCGTCCAGCTGCATCACGGGGACACATCCACTTGCCCGTTCACAGCCAGCCTGCAGCTGCTTCTTTGTGACAGAGTCAAGGGTTCTTGTCAGAAACCATGTGGCCTGCAAGACTTACGGTATTTAGCCCTTTACAAGAAATATTTGCTGACCCTTTCCACATGACCAGTGTTTCCCTTATGAAAAGCTCTGCTCTGTCCTCCCTCGCTGCCTTCCGACCTCCTCCTCGACAGCAGGATGTCCCAGGCTCCGCACCAGCCCCATCAACCAGCCCCAGCATCCTGAGATCCCACTCCTGAGCCTCACCCACCAAACACCCTGTGAGAGGACTACGCCCCAGGAGGGACCCCCAGGAGGACTCCAGTTCTCCTCACGGAGCCCAGCTTCCCCCCACGTTTTTCAAGGCCCCAAAGCCCTCTGTGTTCCTCCTCTCCTTCCTTCCTATTCTCCTCTACCCTCAGCCTCCCCGGGAGCGCTGTGCTTAGTAATTGATCCCAACTGCTGCAGGAAATATATGCACAGGACCCTCAAGACCTCCTATGATCTCCAGGCCTGTGCCTCTAGGGACAAGGCAGACTTCAGTGGGGCCTCCTTCAAGCCAGTGGGGTCTTTAAGACCTGGCTGTCCCCTTAGGCAAGGTGGTGACCCAAGACTAAAGAGAGTTCCTGACCACCACCTCCCAGGCCTGCCTGTACAGCACATCTGCTTCCCCTCGGGGTCCAGGGGACCCTCCTGTGAGATGAGAACCATGCAGCCCAGTCAAATCTAAAATTTTAATTTAAATTTACATAGCCACACATAGCTAGCGGCTGCTGTATTAGATAGTACAGAATCTACCTGAGGCACGAATCAGAGTCCTAAGTGTCCACTCTTGGTGAGCCCTTTCAACTCTTTCGGCCTGATTGAAAGTTTTGCTGTAGAGAAGTCACCTTTGGGGCTATTCTGAGTCACTGATTCCGTATGGCTCACTGAAAGGAGCAGTTAATTTACAAGCCCCAGAGAAAGGGGCGCTGCAGGTCCCTGAGATCCTAGAAGGAAAACAAAGAGCAAGTTGCAGCCAATTGGAGACCAAAGAACTGCTCTGCCAACCTGGGGCCCCGCTGGCCTCCGGGAGGTGATGGGTGCCATCAGCTTGCACCGGTACATCTGGGGCTTGATAAGCCAAGGAAGCACCTTGCCAGCAGGCTGGGGAGGATTACTTGAGCTTTGGGGAGCCCCGGTAAGAGACACAGAGCCGTGGACCAAGTGGTTTCACTTGGTCTTTTTTTCAGCTGCTTCGCTGTAGTCCTTCTGTTTAGCTGCTCCTCTGACCCCAGCCCCTGTATACCTTCGAGCCCTCAGCCACTATTCCCACACACGCCCCAGCCCTCGTGGACGTCTACATTTATACCAAAATTACAGTAGCGGCCTTGCACCAGCGACAGCCTTGGTTATATCTGTTACTCACCCTGGCCAGCACTGACCCTGGCTACAGAATTTATTTACACTGGGGCACTAGGAGACACAGCTAATGCTGGAGGTCTGCTGACACAGAACCCACTGCCTCCCAGACCTGCTTCCTTCAGAGCCCAGGCCGAAGTACCGCCATCGCAGGCTTTTATGTTTCCCTACACAGGGCCTGGGGCTTCAGCAGCTTCCTAGCTTTCTGGGAAGAAAGAGAGGTTGCCCAGGATTCCTCGAGAGGCTCCCGTAAAGTCCATGATTGATGTCACCGGAAGACCAGGGCTGAGCAGGCAGGGTCCCAGCTCCATCCACACGGGCTCCTCTAAGTAGGAGAGAGCTCCATGCATGTCTCCTAGAACTGCCCGACGGCGGCCCTGTGAAAGAGGCCAGCTCCCACTGCTAGTCCTTGCCCTGTCACTCTCGCCAGTGTCACCTCCATGAAATCTCTGCCACATCTCATTCTACCCTGTGGCCTGCTCTTTGCAGGCCTTGAAGTGACATAGAAAGGGACAGAGAACTCTCTTCGCCCCTAAGATTAGACACTATGCATCACTGCCTGACAATGGCCATCCCTGTCTGTTTGAACCTGAGAAGCAGTCAGGGCAAGGAGAAAAAGGGGCAGGTGCCCGGGAGCAGGGCCTCGGAAAGATGCATCTTCTCAGTACAATAGCCTCCACACTCTGTTCTGAGGGAGACCCCCAAAGTCACAGCAGTGTAAATGCTGGAACCTCAGCATCTCTAAGAGAAAGCTCAGGCCTTCCTGGCACAGTCTGTGTCAAGCCTGTGACCCTGAAGCGATAATAGAAGTGACAGGCATGGAGAGCAGGACCCAGGGGAGATCACAGAGCAGGCGGTCGCTAGGGAAAGGGGAGCTGTGAATCCACCAATGCCTCCCGGAATCCAGAGACATCAACATTGGATGGTTCTTTGTGCAATGCCTTGTAGGAGTTACCAGCATCTTAGCACCCCAAACCCTAGTTATGAACACCAAAACTACCTCCAGACACCACCAGATAGGCCCCGAGGGGTAAAACCATCCCAGCTGAGAACTGCTGCTTGAACTCAATCCCACTTCAATGGAATAAAATGAATTTGTGATGTGGACTCTCTCTCTCTGTGTGTCTCTCTCTCTGTCTCTCTCTCTGTCTCTCTCTGTCTCTCTCTCTCTCTCTCTCTCTCTCTCTCTCTCTGTCTCTCTCTCTCTCTCTCTCTCTCTCTCTCTCTCTCTCTCTCTCTCTCTCTCTCTCTCTCTCGACCAATGCCCGTGCAGTAAATGCTGTTTTCACACCTTACTGGGTGTTTGCTAATCTGAAAGTCTAAGGCTGCTCTCCCCAGCCCAGACCGGGCGGTCCCCAGTCCTTCCATGAACTTCAGCTCCTTCTCTCTGGGTCCAGCTCCATCTGATCAGGTCCGACTGGCCTGGCAGCTGGCCCGGCCCAGCCCAGCCCAGCAAAGCACAGCACAGCATAGCACAGCACAATTACAGAATCTTCAGCATCTCGTTAATTCCCACCAGGGGTTTCCGGTGTGGATCAATAAAGCAGCTCTGCTTCCTTTCAGCACATTTAAAGGGAACTTATCCAGAGAAGGATCACATTTGCTGCCCACCAAGCATTCTCCTTGATTTATTCACCCATTCAACAAATAGCTTTGGAGTTCCCACTGGACTACAGATAGCAGGCTAGGAGGTAGGACGGAGCTATGACGCTGAAAGCTGTGGCCATGCCCTGGCCAGTGGGTAAATTCAAGGCCACTGGGGCTGGCGGCTGCCCACCGTGTGTGAGCTATATGAACTCGGGTGCGGTTTTGTCCTCCCAAAGGTACAATTCGATTCTTCCTGTGTAAGATGGAGATAATGACAGTGCCCTCCTCCAAGAGAGATGGGAATTAGACAGCGGGAGACAGAAAGATACTGGCGTCATGTCATGCCCAGAGAACAAGCTCAGTGTGCTGAGGCACTGTCTATGTTATTATTCAGCACAGCACCGTCCAGTGGGAGAAGCAGACACTTCTTATGCAATACCATAAAACATGTAAGTGGCCTGAAAACAGATGCACATTCGGGAGGATGGGGCTGTGGCTCAGGGATGCCTCTGCAGGGGAAATTCTACCTGAATTCAGACCCAAAGCTTAAGCAGGGGTGGTCGGGACAGTACTGAGGGTCTGGAAGGTGAGTGCTAAGGCACCAGAGCACTAGGAGGGAGCTGAGAGCACCCCGTGTGACTGTAGCAGAGATGCTGGACAGACAGACTGGGCCCAGCCCAATCTGTCCTACAAGCCACATCGAGGGGTCTGACTTGACCGAGTAGCAAGCCAGTGAGAGCCTTAAGAGTGTGTGATCCAATTTGATTTAGAAGTTCACTGGCTAGAGAGGAGAGAAAGGATTGGGGGAGGGCAAAGGTGGCTGCTGCTGCAATCTCCAGAGAGAGGTGACAGTGGCCTGGCCTGAGGAGTGACGGAGGAGGAGGAAGCATGATCAGCACAGTCCTGGGTACCCATGGATGACCAGCAATATCTGGAGGACAGGTGAGAGGGATGGGACAGCCAATCACCTAGAGCTCAGAGGGCTTCCTGCAAATTTCTGTAGCACCCACTCTGGGGCATCTGTGCCCTCAAAGATGAGCCATGTTCTAGGACACTTCAGGAAACTGAGGGGAAACAAACTTTAAAAACACCCTCCCCCTACACAGTATGCCCATGGGCAAGCCCAACTGTGCCAGGTGGATGAATGTCAGGACAGAAACCCCTGGGGGGTTCCTGGGATGCCATCTGTACCCAGGCTGGAGAAGTTAGGTGCAGAATCTGGACAGGCAAGAGCTGGAGGGGGCCAGGCCAAAGCCCCACCACTAGCACTGATGACAAATGAGCTCAGGCAGGCAGAGCACAGGAGTGCAAGGTGTGCTGCCCGTGTCAGGAGGTTCCGGGATGGAATCAAAGTGCAGGAGGCCAGTTCAGAGCTTACAGCAGATACTGGGGGGCAACTATGAAAAAGGCCAAAATCTTTTACATTTGAATTTTAATTGCATCATTCCTTCTCATAAAAATAAGAACATTAAAGAAGGTTAATCTTCCTGAGCACCAACCTCAGTTCTAGTCCTTTCTCACCTCTTCCTGGAGGCACCCACTCACCAGGCTCCTGAGTGTGCTCCAAAGCCCTTTGTCTACTAATTTGATGGGCACATATGTGTGCCCACAGGAAGTGCATAATGGTGTTATTTTGCCGGGAGTTTTCTTTGCTTGCTTATTGTTGCTGCAGGGAATAAATGAGTCCGCCACTGAAATTTGCTTTTTCATTTCACACAATGTCCAGAGATGAAACCCATCTTTGCTAATGGCAGCATGCTGGGATGTACTATAATACCATGGCTACTTTTGCCATTCCCACATCAGGGACACTTGGAATAACAGATACAAAAGTATCCGGAAGTCTTGAGCTGGAAGCTAGGAGGGGCCTGGAAGCTAGAGGAGACTCGGGCAAATCTCCAGCCTCCACATCGAGGGGCCACATTTTTGGGAGCAGGGAAAGCAGATCATTGAAAAGGGTTGCACTGGAGGAGGACCTCTGGTCCTGTCCATTTCTGGCTTGACCAATAGCACGCATGGAGGAGGTGAGGGAAAGTCCTCACCTTGGGGTACAGTGGCGACGCATGCTGGGGCTGAACCTGGTTGCTGAGATCCAGCAGAGACCTCAGGGAACATGGGGGTGCATGGGAGGGCTGAGAGCTCATGGAAAGCCTTCATGGGCTATGGTGGGCTCCTTGCCCACTAGCACACACTCCTCTCGTCTATTGTTCAGTGCGGCTCCTGTGCTGGGCCCTCTTCTGGAGTGTGCATGGCTCAACTCTGGCTGGCTCTTCAGGCGTGCAGCAGTAAGAGCTGGTGCAGGTGAGGGACACTGGGGTAGGGACCTGAGGATGGCGTTCCAGGAAGGCAGGTGGGTGCTCACCACCTCACCTCCAAAGACTCCACACTGAAGTTCCACAGCATGTTCAAACCGTCACCTTTGCCCTCTTTTTCCAAACTGTATCTTCTGCTGACCCCACCAACCTGAAATGCCATCCCTCAGCAGGAGAAAGGGACTCAGGATCGCAGTACAGCTAGCCAGGCAGCACCACGGCTACCACAGGGCTAGAAAATCCCTGGACTAGGTGGCTGCTTCCTCTCCAGTCCAGGCCCTGGCTTTGATCTTCACTGTGGGGCAGAGACATGGGACTCAACCTATTGAGGGCACATTTGCTCCGTGACTGGCCATGCCCTGCCTCCCTCACTCCCAGGGGTGTACCAGGCCCAATGTGAGGTGCACATGTGCTGTTCAGGGTAAGATGTGCCTCATCCTTACTGCAAGCATCACAGGTCACCACACTAAGCCTCAATTTTACCATCCACAAAATGGGAACAATAACAGTCCCTGTATCACAGACTATTGGAAATACTGATGTATATGCTGCAGGAGGCACCAATAAAAAGGAGGTGCTAATAATCACAGTGGAAATGATTATCTACAGTGAGGATTATCAGCATTGGCATCTGCACTGTGCTCCTCTTGTTTCAGGGAAGCCCCAGCTTCCTGAAGACTGAAGCTCAACCGCCCTGACCAAGGATCCAGGTTCACTGACAGCTTGTCTGTTGGGGCTGCAGGCACCCCAACCTCTCCTCAGACCTTTATTTCTGTCTTTCCAAAGTCACCCAAGCCTGGTGACGTTGGCCCAGTGGCAGATTAAGCTCAACCGAACTCATTCTCTATCCTGCACCCCAGGAGAGGGAATGGGAGGAAGTGTATGGGTACAAAGTCCCAGCTGAAGCCTTTGCACAACCAAGGAGGTGACCATCTGCAGGCAGGGGCCTGCAGGTGGGAGTCCCAGGGAAGCCACAGGACAGAGGACAAAACCTGCGGCCCCACATTAGTAAGCTGATTTTAGGTCTGTAGTCCGGAGCCTGCTCTTTGCACCCCACCTTGGATTCCACCTCCCTGAGTCCTCACACCTGCACTCGGGGTACAGTTTTGTTCCTCCAGTAAAGCTCGCTTCAGAGCTCTCCCCTCCTCTCAGCAGGTAGAGGATTCCTGAAACCCTCCAGGTGGTCCCATCATCCTGCGGGGCATGGAATCTCAGATCAGCGCTCAGGCCACGCCCCAGTCCCACCCCTTCCCCTAGCAGCTGGGGAAACTGAGCCCAACCCGGCAAGGGCCCCCAGGCCTCTGGCTCTCATCTTCCAAGCAAAATAAACTTGCTCCGCATTCCAGCACTATCGCTCAGCCTGCGGACATCTGCTAAGTGGAAGCACTTGTGGCCTTGCCCTTGATGGGAATCATCTGAGCCGACTCTGTGACTGACATGAGCTCTAACCACGATGAAACCCTCCGCCACTCCCTGGAAAGCTGGCTAGGCCATTTGCCGCCAGCCACCTAACAACTGCAAGGAAAATGAAGCGGCCCCGGGCGACCCCTCCTGGCCTGGCTCTCCACCCCGGCGTGATCTCTGAGGTCCACACTGCGACTCCCAACTGGAAGGGCCCGCCCTGCCGGCGCAGCGCCGCCTTTGCTCGGTTGCACAGCGCCGCCTGCCGGCCAACCCACGAGACTGCCCTGCCCAGTCCAGCCGGGTCCCCGCATCCTCAGGCGCCAGAGCCCGGACCGCGACCCTTCCCCTCCCTAGGTCCGATCAGCACAGCCGTCTGCGCCAAGGGGTCTCGACCCGACCGCCAACGTGGAACCTAGGGGCTAGGACATGCTGGCCACCTTTGTGCGCACCACTGCGATCATACATAGAGGGAGGTCCCCATCCGCTGCTGAGGGCCATAAGCCATTGAGGTATCATCTTGGTGGGGCCTCTCTTCCTTCCCCCAGTGCACAGCGGGCCCCACTCCAGCACTGACTTGGACTCTGATCAGCTCAGCCAGCCCTGAGCTTGTGTGACGTGGGACAATTCACCCCCGTCTCAGGACTATTCTCACCCTGCAAGAGATGGAGGATCTGTTTGGAATTGACACTTTTCCACGGCAGGTCTCTCCAGAATCTGGGAAGTACACCCCATGGCTTGTCTCCATTGATCCCCAATATGGAAGTGTGGTCACACACACACACACTCACTCCTGCCCCTCCTCTGGCCAGCCT